ACACACACACACACACACACACACACACACACACACACACACACACAAAAGAGGAGTCACCGACCTTCCTAAATACCCGTGAATGGTCCATAGAAGAGGTAGCGAGAACTAGATTGCAGAAGCTGAGCAGTGATATGCTAGGTCTTTGGACAGGTGATGGGGTCCAACAGAGACAGTGTTTTCAGCCCACGATTCCCCTCAGGGACTGACAGGACTTTACTAGGCTGGTTCAGGGTCTCCCGTCCCAGCGCACAGTGGATCCCTTCCTCTGGACTGTACCGCACAGGACCACAGCGCAGCTGGGGCTCCTCCTCTTCATACCAGCGCTGTTCACTGAAGTCGGGGAAGAAAGCTGCGATCTCTCTGCTGGCGGAAACCACAGAGTCTATGAGGAGAGGAGAGGGAGAGATGAGCTACTTAGGAGGTTAAGGCAGGAGGATTGCAAGATTGGGACCAGCTTAGGAAACAATGCCAAGACCATGTCTCAAAAACAAACAAACAAACAACAACAACACAAAACAAAAACGAAGAACCCAAATGAGACAGAAGGGTTATCACAGGGAATGTAGGGTAGAGGCAGTCAAGACAGCATCAGGTTCCGAAACCTGAACCACTCAGTAGAGGCCACATGGCTGAGATGCCTATAAAGGGCCAGAAATATATGGAACCAAGCTCAATGGAGGGACCACCGCTGTCAATCTCCTCACATGGCTTGCTTGTCTGCCCCACGACATCCTTCCTCATGTGTGGCCGTGGATGAGAGGCTCAGACTCACCTGAGCCATGGGTAGTGTTTCGGGTGTCAGTGAGGCCCAAACTCCCACGAATTGAATCCGGAGCCATGTGGCGTGCTCGAAATACTCTGGTGGGCCCCATCAGTGTCCTCCAAAGCTGGATGGCATCTTTGTGGGCAAGGATGTAGGCTCGGATTGGCCCACTGAGAATAAAGAAGGGATATGACCACCTAATCTAGACATGTTGTGGGCAGGGCAGGAATGAAGTTCACTGTACTTCCTGAACGGCTCTGCCTTCTAGTGAGTACTGAGGCTGCTTCAAAGGGGAACTGATCAGGAGAGGCCGACTACCGATGTGCAAGGAGTGATCGGCAGAGTTGCTAAGCAGCATTCCATGGTACTCCACCATTGGCTCAGTAGTCACAGGACAAGCACCTACCACCTATGGGTCAGTGTAGCTCAGTCATGATTCTTTTTTTAGTTTTTTTGAGACAGAGTTTCTCTGTGGAACAGCCCTAGCTCTCCTGGAACTTGCTTTGTAGACCAGGCTGGCCTGGAACTCACAGAGATCCTCCTGCCTCTGCCTCCCGAGTGCTAGGATTAAAGATGTGTGCCACCACAACTGGCATTAGTCATGTTTCTTTAGACTCGACAGTGATTACATCTTTAAAGGGTGGCAAGTGAAACTGGCAGTTCTATTCATAGGGAGGAGGAGATCTGCCATAGCATATAAAGATGCTGATACCCAAAATTAGAAGTACCTGGCCATGAACTCCACCAGCCGCTGATAGAAAAAACGCCCTGCAAAGAGAGAGTTCCTTCATGAGAACATGGCGCCCAGGAAAGTTTCTCACTTTTCATTACCTGTAATACCACACCGTTTACAGAGATAACAAGAACCTTGGAGTATAACTTTTCTGAGAGCGGATCTAGATCCTGCCACTTACAGTCTGTACACTTTTGGTTACATCAATAACTTCCCTAACATGTCTTCCAAATCTATACTTTGGGATATGACATTAGCTCACTATGATTAGGGGGAAATTATTTTAATCTTTCTATGCATGCACATGCATGTGAGTGTGTGTGTGTGTGTGTGTTATAGAATACTACTTGCCACCGCCTTTTCTAAATCTGAGAAAATTAAGTGAGATAATGAGCATTAGGGAAATGTTTGACAAGATAAATGTTTACCCAATGTTAATTACTGATATTACCAAGGCATAATATTAAATTTCTGATTGGGACTATATAGGAGATCTCACCTAGGAAAAGAAAATGCTGATTATCATGGGAAGTCTGTGCAGAAACAAACATGAGAAGACACAGGTCTGGGGAGATGGCTTGGCCAGTAAAGGGCCTGCATTACAAGCATAAGGAGCTGAGTTTGATTTCCAGAACACACGTACAAATGCCAGGCATGGTGGCACACATTCATAAACCTAGTGCAGGGGAGGCTGAGGCAGGTGGCTGCTTGGGGCTCAGCGACCAGCCAGCCTAGCCTACTTGTTGAGTTCTAGGCCAGTGATGGGACCCTGACTGGGGCCGGGCGGGATGGTGGTGCCTGTGACTGACACCTAAGGCTGTCCTCTTGCCTCTGTGCGGACACAGGTGCACCTCACACTCACACACACACCGAGTGGGTGGGCTGTAACGCAGACTGCAGGCCTGACCTTCATGCTCTTGGTAACACACATACACACACACACACACACACACAGACACACACACACACACACGCCCACACACACGCCCACACACATGCACACGGGGTGGGTGGGCTGTAACGCAGACTGCAGGCCTGACCTTCGTGCTCTTGGTAATACACACACACACACACACACACACGCCCACACGCGCGCGCACACACACACACACACACACACGCACACGGGGTGGGTGGGCTGCAACGCAGACTGCAGGCCTGACCTTCGTGCTCTCGGTAGAACCTGCGGCAGTCTTCCTTTCTCCACTGTAGTTCTCGCGTCCGCACAATGAGGAACTTGTTGCTCAGAATCTGCTCATGTACAGCCTGGAGAACAAACCATTCCAGAGATAGAAATCAGTCAGGACTCCAGCTGTCTAAAGGATCACTTCACATGTTTGCCCGTGATGGGTGCTATGGTCCAGGTATTAAGTGCTCTTTCACCCCAAAGCTCATGCGTTAAGGCCGATGACGGTCGTGGGAACTTCAGAAGGTGGGCCATCCTGAAGAAAGTGTTATTAGGAGTGTACTCTTGGGGAAGCGGAACCTCGACTTGTCCCCTCTTCACATCCAGTCCCTGCGGTGAGCACTTCTCACCGCAATATCCACCCTCAGCAGAGGCTCGAGGAGGCAGAACCGAGCGCCATGTACTAAAACCTGTGAACGTCTGAGGGAAAATGATCTTCCCGTAAGTGTGGCCCAGTGGCAGAGAGCTGACTAACACAGAGGTGAAGTGAGGTGAGGTCAAGACCTCAGCTATACTGCCAGGGTATGAGCAGCGGTCCTAGGGACAAGAAGTAATGTTCTTCACCACCATACAAGTCTTTTTAATGGTCCTGTCCTCAGTTTTTCCTCATTCGTTCTAAATCATGATTAAAAACTCTATAACTTATTTACACGTCATGCTTTGGTCAGAATGTTCTGGGTAGTTTCTACTATCATGAGTGTTTTGCCTGCATATATTTCTGTATAGTGTATACGTGCCTAGTTTCTGAGGAAGCCAGAAGAGGGTGCTGGATTCCCTGGAACTGCAGTTACAGATGGTTACGTGCCAACATGTAGGTGCTGGGAACCAAACCCAGGTCCTCTAGAAGAGCAGTTAGTGCTCTTAAGGGCTGAACCATTTCTCCAGCCTGAAATGAGTTGTTTTAAGCTATCAGATTTGGAATGTAGCATTTGATAACTAATATATATATTTACACACATATATATGTATATATAACTGAGTGACGCATATTAATTAAAACTAATATATATGTATATGTAACCAATATATACATATTAGTTAAGTATAAGTTAAATATATTCTGTTAAAATATATATATTAGATAAACTAATATAGTACACATACACAGACTAGAGGTTTTTTTTTTTTTTTTAAATTGGGACTGGGCATGGTGGTATATATCTTTAATTCTAGTACTCTGGAGGCAGAGCCAGCCTGGTCTACACAGTTAATTTCAGGCCAGCAGCAGCTACACAATAAAACCTTGTTACCAAAAAAAAAAAAAAAATGATAGAAAAGATGGTTCAGGGGGTAAGGGCATTTGCTGTGCAGGTATGAGGACTGGAATTCAAGTCCGTACACTCATGTAAAATAAATAAAAATATGAAAATAATGCAAAAATTTTATTTCTTGTATTTTAGATATGCCTAACTTTCTAAGAGTAGTCTTCTAAGGGTCAGAGTTCACGGCCCTTAGCTCTTCTTTTCTTTTTTTTTCCAAGACAGGGTCTCTATGTATAGTTCTAGCTGTCCTGGAACTTACTCTGTAGACCAGGCTAGCCTAAACCTCACAAAAATCTGCCTGTCTTGCTCACTATGCTCAACTAGCTTTTCGTGTGTGTGTGTGTAGGTCAGATGACAACTTGCAGGAGTTGGTTCTCTCCTTCCACCTCATGAGATCCACGGATCAAACTCAAGCCTTTATATGCCGAGCAGCCAAGCTAATCCATCCGGCTTTTCAACCTCAGCATCTAGCACGTGACTGAATTGTCAGCTGTCACAAGCAGTCTTGTGGTATCCAAAACAGGACGATGGAGATGTAGGGTTCATTCTTACCTCCAGAATCAGCGGGTGGGCAACCGCATCAGGCTTGATCAGGGCTAGCGTGAGCTGGAGAGCCTGAGGGCTTCGCAGGATGGAGGCCATCTCACCCCTGCCATCAGAAGGCTGGATTAAGAGCCACACAGTGTTGAGTTCTCAGCCCCTTCTACCCTGGAAGCCACCTAACCTTGCAAGTCCACCAGGGGCTTCCCCCGAGCCTCACAGAGCATCGTCAGGCTATGTGTGGTACCCCCCTCACTCACCTATTTGCACTCATATGACTTTTTTTTTTTAAAGATTTATTTATTTATTATGTATACAGTGTTCTGTCTGTGTGTATGCTTGCTGGCCATGTGAGGGCACTAGATCTCATTATAGATGGCTGTGAGCCACCATGTGGTTGCTGGGAGTTGAACTCAGGACCCTTGGAAGAGCAGTCAGTGCTCTTAACCTCTGAGCCATCTCTCCAGCCCCTCATATGACTTTTTTTAAAAAAAATATTTATTTATTTATTTATTATGTATACAATATTCTGTCTGTGTGTATGCCTGAAGGCCAGAAGAGGGCACCAGACCTCATTACAGATGGTTGTGAGCCACCACGTGGTTGCCAAGAATTGAACTCAGGGCCTTTGGAAGAGCAGGCAATGCTCTTAACCACTGAGCCATCTCTCTACAAACAAACTATGTTTGTTTGTTTGTAGAGGGGACACTCAGGTCACCGTGTGAGACATACAGTCTTCCTTATGCTACAAGTATACATTAGGGAGTTCTCCATTGAAGAGGAATGTGAGTTGATACTACCACCTGATTTTGCCAAACTTCCATCTTCTAAACTTTTTTGTGTTTTTAACAAGGTTTATGATCTCTACTATTCAACAGTCTAGCCATATGAGTACAACGACTTAGCTGGGCAGCGGTGGCGCATGCCTTTAATCCTAGCCTTTGCGAGGCAGAGGCAGGTGAATCTCTGTGAGTTTGAAGGCAGCTTGGTCTACAAAGCGAGTTCCAGGACAGCCAAGGCTGTTATACAGATAAATCCTGTTCCGAAAAAACAAACAAGAGTACAATGACTGCCATAAGGTCTTATTCTATAGTGTTCTTCCAGTTACAGAATTGGAAGATAGACCGACAAGAAAAATTAGGCCACCACTGGATAAGAAAAAGGCTTCAGGGCCATAGACCATCTCTTATTTAATATTATGGATGGTCTTCCCAGCTCAATAAATAATTGTGAGAATAACTAACAGACAATATTTCTAGACTTGGTTAAGCATCAGAGATCACTTTCAACAGTGACATTCTATTTACATGTGAGAAACCACTTTGGCAGGAGGAAAGATCTCAATTGGATTCAAAGGCACAAGCCTGTAATTCTAGCACTTGGAGGCTGACTTTACAGCCAGACCCTAACCAAACCATTGCAAACCAACCACGGCCCTGAAATATCATCTCTAACCTGTTAACAAATACAGAGAAGGTGTCCGGGGACACGAGCAGGGCAGAATCAGGTAACATTCTCATTACTTTTAGCCTGAATATAGCTCGGCCAATCATAGCAGGAGTGGCAGGGATGGCTATGCTAAGGTCTCTTCCGCTCACGTCTTCTTTAAGGCTTATTACTGGAAGATCCATTCAGACTGTGTACCCAAGCCCAATCTAACCAGTACAGGATCAGCATACCCGCTTCACCTAATATTCCAGATATAACACAGCACCGTGGCCAACTCTACACGGGGATGTCCTGAGACCTCCGGTTTCTAACTCCCCGCCTCCAAACTATTATCAAGTTCTAAAAATCCTACCTATACATCTCAAAGTCCATACAAATCTCTTCCTTTTAACTGCCATTACCCCTTTGTCTGGGACTTCTGTGACACCCTCAAAGGTTTCTAGGCTTTTGTTCTTGCCAGTCCTAAATCTGTTCTACTGCAGCCACAGCAACAAAAGCTAAAAAGAAGAAGTACCCTCCTTCGGTCAGGTGTTCTGACTTCTGAAGACTTACACCCGCCCCCAGCAAAGTCTCCCAGACTTCACCCTGCTCTGGTCTTTGGGTCTTCTGATCCCAGAAGACATTAACTTCTCTGGCCTCATCTGGAGCCCCACATCCCTGAACTCTTTTGCTCCAGTTTCATAGGCTTTTCCTGTCCCACGCCCTTCTGGCCTGACAAGCGTTGTGGAAGGAAGAGTCCACACCTCTCATGTGTCTCCCCTGTTACCTCCTCGTACATTTGCTCTCACTTCTCCAGTCAGACTTTCTCAGGGCTCACAGGCTTCCTCTGACTACATCAAATCTCCATTAAAGACCAGCTTTATGGAGCCAGGAGCTTTATGGAGCCAGGCACGGGGGTGCACAGCTTTATTTTTTATTTTGTTTTTTCTTTTAATTAATTAATTAATTATGTATACAATAGTCTGTCTGTAGGCCAGAAGAGGGCACCAGACCTCATTACAGATGGTTGTGAGCCACCATGTGGTTGCTGGGAATTGAACTCAGGACCTTTGGAAGAGCAGGTAATGCTCTTAACCACTGAGCCATCTCTCCAGCCCAAAGACCAGCTTTATGAAAGTAGGGGTCTGTTTCATTCACCATCCTAACCTTAGTTCCAGCAGGTACCTGGCTTTCCACAGAATTTAGCTGAACAAATCAGTATGTGGACCTGACCCAGCCATCCCAGGGCCAGGCGGTTAAGAGATCTTCAGGGGAGGACAGGCGATCTGTAGAGTGGGTGTGGTTCTGTTGGTTAGTGCTGTCTTGGCTATTTTGGTTTACAAGAAAATACTATCGCCGGGCGGTGGTGGCGCACGCCTTTAATCCCAGCACTCGGGAGGCAGAGGCAGGAGGATCTCTGTGAGTTTGAGGCCAGCCTGGTCTACAAGAGCTAGTTCCAGGACAGGCACCAAAAACTACAGAGAAACCCTGTCTCAATAAAAGAGAAAAAAAAATAATATAAAAAAAAAGAAGAAGAAAATACTATCACGTAAAGAAAGGCAGGAGGACCTCAGTGAGTTCAAGGCCAGTCTGGTCTACACACCGAGTTCCAGGACAGTCAGAGCTGTTACAGAGAAACCCCGTATCGAAAAACCAAAGAAAGAAAGAGAGAAAGGAAGGATGAAACTGGCTTGACTTAGAGGTCACCCTATCAGACAGCGGCCCGGCCAGCTGAGGCCATTTCTTTTACTCCCACGCTGGTCACGTACTTGCTGGCCTCTCAACGCTACTTCTGCCCCACTTCTGTGACCACACCCCCCTGCCCCCCAGGTCTTGACTCCCGACCGGCCTACTACCCCCATATTTTAGGCCTCAAGCTGTACGATCTGGGCTTCTCCACTCCGGGTCAAAGCCCACCCCAAACTCAGCAATCCCGGCTCCAGCGCAGGACTGGATTCTGGGTTCACCTGGTCCTCCCGGCAGCGCTCTAGGCCAGCAGGCACTGATCTAGTTAGCCTGCCGGGTCCTTTGCGGTTCTTCAGGCACGTCGCCGGGCAGCCCTCCGCGGGTCCTACTGTCTGGCGGCTGTAAAGTTGAGTGACGTGTGTGTTTGTGCGCGCGCGTGTGTGTCCTACTGTCTAGGGGCGGTAAATTGAGTGACGCGCGCGCTCGTGCGTGCGTGTGCATTTGTGTGTGTGTGCTTATGTGTGTGCGTGTGAGACTGAGGTTGAGAAAGAACTATAATCCGTTCAAGACTCGCTCTTTTAGCTTCAGGGCTTGGATGCTCAGACATCGCACTCCTGGAATGTTGGAAGCGGGGGCTGCGGTGGTGCCCTACCGACAGCTTGCTTACACAAGGTGTCTTCCAGAGAAAAGTTCGTTTCTTTCTTATTTATTTATGTCTTGGTTTTTGAGATAGGGTTTCACTACGTAACTTGAAACTCTCTCTGTAGACGAGACTGGTCTCGAACTCTCCCGAGTGCTAGGATTAAAAAAACGTGCACCACCCCGTCGCCTGGCCCACTTCTTTATTTTAAAAAAAAAAACTTAAAAGAATTTTTATATTACCCCACATGCATGCCTGGTGTCCATGGAGCCCGGAGAGGGTGCTGGATCCATTGGAACTGGAATTACAGATGGTTGTGAGCTTACACTTGGGAGCTGGGACTATAACCCCATCCTCAGGAAGAGCAGCCAGTGCTCTTAACGGCTGAACCACCTCTCCAGCATGAAAATTCATTTTTTAAAAAATGTATATGGTGTTTTGCCTGTATGTATGTCCATGCAGCATGTGTGTGCCTGTTACCAGTAGAGGTCAGAAGAGGTGATCAGCCAACAGGGACTGGAGTTACAGATGTTTGTGTCACCATGTGGATGCTGAATATCAAACCCAACTCCTTTGCAAGATCTGTGAGTGCTCTTCAACAATGAACCATCTCTCCAGTCTGATGGATGCTCTGATGGGTTCAATTCCCAGCACCCACCTGGCAGCTCACATCTGTCTGTAGCTACAGTTCTAGGGGAACCGGCATTCTCACACAGATGTACATGCAGGCAAAATACCAATGCTCATGAAATAAAAATACATTCATTTATAAAAACAAAACAAAACAAGAAACCAACAAAAAGGAATGGCAGGTAGGTGGAGCCAAATTGTTAGGTTTATTGATAACCCAAGGAGCTGTTAGAGACTGGAACTTTATGTGGGAACCAAAGATGCCTGACTTCTGACTCTGTTACTTCAGTACCGAGACTTAGGAGCCTCACTTGAGACAACAGCAAAAATAATAAACATATTTGCCATTACCAAAGCATGGACAATGTCAGAGCATTGCTTCACCCTCCCCCCACCCCACATATTCAGAAAACACTTCAATGTCCAGACTCTATCGACTTTTAGGCAAAATTTTGCCCTAGTTTTCAGTTCTTCATGTTGCTCAGACCCCAGTGGATATGAAGATAATTAGGAAATGGTGAAAGTTTTGATTCAGTTTTACTGGGACTCAGGAAGCTCCATCGTAGTTTTTCAGTCTCCATTTTGTGAGTCTAAACTCAATTGGGAAAAATCACCAAGGCTGATAATGGGCTGGCAAGATGGCTCAGTAGGTAAAAGCTGTGCCACCAAGCTTGATGACAGGAGTCCAATCCCCAGGATCCATATAGTATAAGGAGAGAATCGCCCCTCACCCCCTCACCCTGACCTCCACGCGAGTGCTGTGGTGTGCACGTGCACATACAAACAAATAAAGGAGGGACTAGAGAGATGATTTAATAGTTAAGAGCATTTGCTGCTCTTACAGAGGACCTGGGTTCAGTTCCCGTTGCCTACGTGGCGGCTCACAACTGCCTGTAACTTTTATAAAACGTACTGCTCATACGTACCTTACATATGGTAAGGGCTAACCACAGAGAGCGTGTGCCTGGTGAAAACTGATTCTCTCAGCTGACATTGATTACCTGTAGTTTGGTTTTTTTTTTTCTTTTGTCTTTCAAGACAGGGTTTCTCTGTGTAACAGTCCTGACTGTCTTGGAACTCAATTTGTAGACCAGGCTGGCCTCAAACTCACAGAGGTCCACCTGCCTCTGCTACCCAAGTGCTGGGATTAAAGGTGTGTGCCACCACCGTCCAGCTATGCCTTTTGTTGTTTTTTAAAATATTTTTTGTTTTTATATAAAATATTTCTCAAGCATTTTTGTTGCTGTATTGTTGATTCTGTGTTGAGCTGTCTGTACACCACAGTTTCCCAGGCTGTTCCTGAACTCACTGGAGCCTAGGCATCCCTTGAATTTGCAGTTCTTCTGTCCCAGTCTTCCACGTAGCTGGGATTGCAGATCTGCTCCATCAGGCCCGGTTGAGTTTGTTTTGAGCCCTAGATGCCTTGCTGGGAAGTATTTAGAAACACGACTATCCCCAGGAATTACTCCAATATCATACTCAACAAATTTTCTTTCAATACAACTCTGAATTCCAAGCTGGAGACAGTTCAGTGGTTAAGAACATGGGTTGCTCTTGCAGAGGATTGAAGTCAGGTAGCTCAGCCACCTGTAACTCAAGCTCCACGGGGTCCAGTGCCTCTAGCTTTTGTGGACCACCTGTGTATATCCACACCTAGACACATACACAGAATTTAAAAATAAAAATGAGGGCTGGAGAGATGGCTGAGCAGTTAACAGCACTGTCTGCTCTTCCAAAGGACCAGGGCTCAATTCCCAGCACACACATGGCAGCTCACAGCTGTCTGTCGCTCCAAGATCTGATACCCTCAGACGGACGGACATACATGCAGGCAAAACGCCAATGCATATTACGTTAAAAAAAATAAAACCTTTGGAACTGGAGAGGTGTTCAACAGTTAAGAGTACCTGCTGTTCTTCCAGAGGGCCAGAGTTTGATTAAAATCTGAATCCCTCTTATGGTATAGTTGTTTTGAGACATGCTGAGAGCTATATGGTTCACAGGACAAATATCCAATTTAATTATGACCAAAGTCCAAATATTGCTGCTACTGAGATATTTATTCCCTCACTTAGCATTTCATTGGTTATTTGGTCGTTATGTGAAAATATGGAGGGGTGAGAACATAGACTATCAGATATATTGAAAAAGGTTTTGCTGAGTAGTGATGGCGCATGTCACCTCCCAGCACTAGGTGGATCTCTGAGTTCAAGCCTGGTCTACATAATGAGTTCCAGAACAGCCAGGGCTACAGAGATAAACAAAAAAGAAAAGAAGAGAAGAGAAAAGAAAAGAAAAGAAAAGGTTCTTATTAACCGAGAAAATGTTTACCAGCCAAGCTTATGCTGAGAATCATTTATTGAAGAAGCAAATCAATGAATTTGATCCAAGTACCTTTTTGCCACCAGGATGCATTTCTCAATGAGCTATTCTTTTTTTCCTCCAAACGTTGGAGATTGAACTAAGGCTTCATACACACTAAGCAAATACTGTACCAGGAAGTCCAGCCCCTGTCCCCCAAATCTGGTGTCTTAGAAGACTCAGCCATCATGCTTCACTTGGCTGTCTGAGGATTCAGTAGCTTTTATTCGTGTTCAATGTCTTCCCCGGAGTAAATCTGTAAGAGAAATGTCTGCTTAGCGACACTGTAGTCAGTGAAATTATGAGAAAGGCTACTGCGCTGAGAACTGTACACACCCACACTCCAGGAGGATGCTGACCCCTGAACCGAGACTGATGAGAGACATTCTGATTTCACTGAGGATGAAAAGATAACTGAGTAGATGTGGGCAGAGAAGAGAGCAGAGGGTGTGGGTGCCTGTGATTCTGGGGACTTGGAGCCTCTCAGGGTGCTGCTCCAGCAGAGCAGATGGAAGGTAGAGGCATTAGATTAGAAGCCTTTTAGTGCCACACAGGGGATAGACCAAGGGCTGTGTGAAGAATAGAATGGGAAACGGATCCCCACATTCAAAGCACAGCCCTATCAGTTCTAAGCCCGGAGGGTTTGAGGCAGATCATATGACCTCTCCAGACCTCAGCTCATTTGAATGTGAGATGTAGCTAAGAGCTGTGCCTTTAAAGGTCTAGTGAGAGGGCTGGGGGAGGAGATAACAGCAAATAAAGGGTGTGATAGTAGGCACGAAGAAGGGCTGGAGATAGGTGTAAGGACCAGCCCTCCCCCTGTTGTATGCTGTATATGGATAGGGAACTTGTGCAAGTCTGTGCAGGGAGGAACTGCCATTCATTCATTCATTCATTCATCCATTTATCCATTTTCTTCTGCTTCACACCTTGATAAACACTGCTATAGACTTCTAAGTCACTTTGCAAAACTATGAGAAAATTTCTTTGCCATCTTCTAGATTTGGAAATTCTGGTCCATAAGATACATATGTACATAATTTGTTACATTGTCTAAAACATGTGAGATTTGTCCTCCACAGTGACATAAAGCCCTCACTGTTCCCAGAGCGTGTGAGAATACTGACATCTTGTCTCCAACAGCTGGGTACTTCCTGGCCTTCTGACTTTTCCGGCAGCCAGGAAATTGGCATCTTACTATTGTTTCGATTTGAATTTGTCCCGTTATTCCAGAGCATTTGAGCAGATTGCACGTTTTACAATTAAGCCGAGAACAAAACCAAGTGCACACTTTCTGTCTCTGAATTTATGTTTTAGAAACAGGGTCTTACAGCAGAGGGAACTTGTTTGACCTGTCTCTAATCTCAAGGGTAAGACACCAGAATCTTCTGTTTGTTCATATCGAACTCGTAGGTTTAGATTTCTTTTAGTTTATCATTGGTTTTCAGGCTTGGTTACATATACTTATTTTCTGTTTCTCTGTGTATCAGGCTATCTCTATAGACAGGATCTTGGACTTTCTTTTGCTTTAGTCTAAGAATGGCTGTCTTTCTTTCTCCCCTGCTTCCTCTTCCCTTGCATTCTCCCACTTCATGCACAGCATCTTTCTGAGTTGCTAGGCTGGTTCTGACCTTGCTATAGATGGGTTAATTGTTATTTTTTAGAGCTTGGGAACGTTTGAAGATGCCTTTAGAAGATGCCAAGGAGACCGGACATGGTGGTGGCACATGCCTTTAATCCCAGCACTTGGAAGGCAGAGGCAGGCGGATCTCTGTGAGTTCCAGGACAGCCAAAGATATACAGAGAAACCCTGTCTCAAAAAACAAAAAAAAAAAGAGATGTTAAGGAACTAATTAGATGTTGTAACAGCAATGGAGTTATATAAAGAAATGACCCAACTTAGCAATGCACTCTGGAGAATGTTGGGGCGAAGGATAGGTCCAAGTCTGTGTAAATTCTTCATCAAGCACAAAGAAAAATAGAGGAAAGACATAGGCCACCATCCCCCATTTTTAAAAATCTGCATGACAGATTTTACCACTCCTTCTCCCTTTGTGCATTTTGATGGTCTTCTTAACAGACTGTTACAGATCCCCGGTAACAGTGGCTGGTGAAATGTCCCAGGGACTAAGAGAAAATGCTGCACAAATGTGCGGACTTGAGTTTGAATTCCCAGTACCAAGTGAAAACCTTGACATGACTGTGTGTCCCTCTGCGTGGCATTGGGGAACTGAAGCAGGTGGATCCTGTCTCAAGGCAACAGAACAGAGCAATAAAGAAGTCACACACAGAAAGATACCTGGCAGCTACTCCGGGCTCCACATGTACACGTGTGTGCATACCCAAATATTCATGTAGAAACCACACACACATACACAACTCACGTTCATAAATCCTTGACAACGAGCTGTTAAATATTTGTGGTCTTTTTTCAAAAATGAAAAGATAAAGAGTGATTTTACTTACACATTCTCCATCATGCATTTTAATTATGGTTCTGCTTTCATATCTGAAAAAAATTATATTATGAAATGGTTATTTTTGTTCTGTTAGATGCCATAAACTATGACCAACTCTTTTTTGGTAGTCTTAGGCAAAGCCAAGAAATATTTTTTAATAACAGTGGATTAATATATATATATATACATACATACATATATATATAGTATCTTTTAATTTTGTGTGTATGTGTGTTTTGCCTGCATGTATGTCTGTGTATCCTTGGAGGTCAGAAGAGGATGAGCCTACATTCTAGCTCCAAGGCTTCCATAGGCACCTGTATTTACACATATCATGCTCATGTGTGTATGTATACGTGTACATGCATGTGCATGTGCACAAACACATACACACAATTAAAAATAAAGCAATCTGCTGGGCAGTGGTGGTACACACCTTTAATCCCAGCACTCGGGAGGCAGGGGTAGATCTGAGCTCGAAGTCAGCATGGTCTATAGAGTGCATTCCAGGCCAGACTCCAAAGCTAGAGAGAAACCCTGTCTTGAAAAACCAACCAACCAACTAACCAAATAAATAAAACAATCTTAAAGTTTAAAATACCATTTAATGCATGTATCAATGAATTAGGAAACCTAGATGACACTCAAAATTTCACAGAAACACAGTTATCTAAACTGACTGGTAAAGAAATGAAACAGCTCAGTAGACCTTCAAGTAGAATCATTAAATCTGTGATCAAAAGTCTCCCAACTAGTCTTGTTCAGGCAACCATATTGCTGGGAAACAAGACCTGCATTATGTCTGCACCAGTTACCATGGCAACGTGGGTGGGGCCATCTCACAAGGCCCCACCCCTAGATGATGAGTTACTGCCAGTGTCTTCTGCAAGGATGGGGATTGGTTTTCTTCAGGAAGAAGCCCTTCTTAGGTTATCCCACCCCAAGTGGTCAGCCCTAAACAGAAGTAAACATAAGCAAACATAAATGAAGTCAGTAGGGTGTGAGTGTGTGTGTGTGTGTGTGCGCGCGCGTGCGCGCATATCCTAAGGGTCCTGGAGAAGTCCTATAAAACCACCATCCTCGTATGCGATCAGCAAGGGCGTTTTTATTCCAGCATGCTGGGGCCTGCCATCCCACACAAAGACAAGATGGCGAAGACCCGGAGAGGAGCTCACAAGTCTCCTTTTAAGCACAGCCAAGGGGAGGTCCTAGGGCAGTAAGGTCACTTTAGATATGATTGGCTCAAGCAAGTGGCGATCATATTAGTGTGTTCTAATTGGCAAGGGCTAGTCAGGGACTGGTCAGGGCTGGATGAGTCTTGGGCTTTGTCCTTGAGCTGCTGTGGGGGCTGGCTGACCTAGGTACCCACTGTGGGGGCTGACTCAATGGCCCAGGCTTGGGGCATCCTGTCTCCCTTGTCCCTGTTGTCAGGGGCACCAATGATTAATTGCCCTTTGTTTGTGGCTCTCTCAGAAACTGCTTGCTCAGTCTCAGGAAACTGAGGCTTGATCTCTGATAGAAGACTGAGCAGCCCGCTATGGCGTCTGCTTGGTCCTCTCATTTACGTACAATGATTAAGGAAACAGAGAGGGACTGGGGAGGGGGACACACAGGAGTTGGAGAGGGAAGAGGGAAGGGTGAGAACGATGTAAATATGGTACTTATGCTTAAAATTCTCAAAAATGAAAAGCTTAAAAAAAACCTAGAGGACCAAAACTCTCTCAACAGGGAGAGTTGCTGTTGGGTTGCTGCCAAGGCGACAACCTGAGCTCATCCCCAGAACGCACAGGTGGGAAGGAGGGAGTCAGCTCCTGCAAGCTGCTCACCTCCATGTGTGCACTGTGGCATGCACAAGCTCTCTTCCCTAAATAGATAACATGTGACCATTTTTTAAACGAAAGGATTCTAGACAGAAACTTGAATTTGCACACAGTGTAGTGGTGCATACTTGTAAATAGCCCTCAGGAGGCTGAGCCAGGAGGCTGTGAGTCTAAGTTTAGGCTGGGCAACAGCAAGCCTGAGGGCAGCTTACAACTGCTTTATTTTAGTAAGACCCTGTCTCAACAGACAAACTTGAATCTCTATGAAGAAACAGAGAACCAGTAGTGGGCAGCTCTTGCAAAGCTAGAAAAGATATAAAATGTATTTTTTGTTTGTATACCTTTTTCTCCAGATTCAAAAGAAAATAGCAATAGTTAACCTGGTATACAATAGTTATGCCTATGTTAACTGGTGTACAATACTTCTGCCCATGTTAACTGGTATACACAGTTATACCTGTGTTAACTGGTGTGCAACGGGCAAAGGTGTAGTTTGTACAGCAGTGATCACTTAAAGAACGAGGGAATATATACTATTTTCTCTGTCCTTCCTTTCTTCTTTTCCTTCCTTCTTTCCTTCCTTCCTTCCTTCCTTCCTTCCTTCCTTCCTTCCTTCCTTCCTTCCTTCCTTTCTTTTTCTAAGACAAGGTTTCTCTGTGTAGCCCTAGCTGTCCTGTAGCTCATTTTGTAGACCAGGCTGGCCTCAAACTCAGAGATCCACCTACCTTTGCCTCTTAAGAGCTAGGACTAAAGGCATGCATGATCTTTAACATCTTTATCTATAATTGCTGTAAATGCAGATTGGATTGCTATAAAGTTTATTTGCAACCTCAGGGGAGCTGCTAAGAAAATATTTTAATTAATTAGTTAATTATTTTTGAGAGAGTTTCTCTGTGTAGCACTGGTTATTCTAGAACTCACTGTGTAGACCAGTCTGGCCTTGAACTCAGAGACCTGCCTCTGTCTCGTGGTGTGTGCCATCACCAACCAGAGAAAATATTTTATTATACTTATTTTTTATTTTGTTTGTTTGTTTGTTTGTTTTAGATGGATTCACTATGTAGCTTTGGTGGGACTAGAGCTTCCTACATAGACCAGGCTAGCCTTTAGCTCACAGAGATCCCCCTGCCTCTGCCTTCCCAGTGCTGGGATCACAGTTGTGCATCATGACTATTTTTGAATGGTTGGGGTGTGGAACACAGGGCTTCACTTATACCAAGGAAGAGTTCTACCACTGTGCTATATCCACAGGTCAAGAAAAGAATTTACTTGTTTATTTAGTGCTTGTGTAGACATGTGTGTGTGTGATGGATGTGTGTTCTGTCCACGCATGTGTGTGTACAGGGACCTGCTTCTGTGTGTACATATGGAAACCAGAGGAGGAGATAGCCTGTTCTATATTATTTTACCTTATTCCCTTGAGATAGGGCTTCTCACTGATCCTAGAGCCTGGCTGGTGCTGACAAGCCTCAGTGGTCCTCCTGTCTCTGCCCCCATAGCGCTGGGGTTGTAGGCAAGCAGCCAAGCCTGGCTTCCTCGTGTTAGTGGTGGGCATTTGAACTCTGGTTCGTGCTGGGGCCACAAACACTCTTCCCCACAGAGCCGTTTCCCCAATCCCTACTTTTGTTTACTCTAGCAGAAGTGAGTTTGCGTATGACATCATCTCTTGGTTTGTGGGCCCCACCCCTGCTCTGTAACTGGCAGTTTTCTGTGCCAGTCATTGAGGCTGACATACAGATTTGCTTCATAACTCTTTTATGAACTCTTAGTGTAAGCTTTCTTATTTATACAACCAAGAACACCAAACAAGGCTGATTCCTGTTGGCCAAGCATCTCTCACACTGACCAAGATTATTTTTTTTTTCTTAAAGAAGACTAAAACAAGGGTGAATGTTTGGCCAGTCTCATGCCATTCTTCTTTTCTCTTAAGATATTGGGGACCAGGCAGTGGTGGCGCACACCTTTAGTTCCAGTACTTAGGAGGCAGAAGACAGGCAGACAGAGTTCGAGGTCAGCCTGGTCTACAAAGTGAGTTCAGGATAGCTAGGGCTACACAAAAACCTTGTGTTCAAAACAAAACATAACCCCAAAAAACAAACACACAAACAAAAGATATTGGCTTAACTGGGGAATATTACACAAGATATGGTTTTCCTGCCTCAAGAAAGCGGCTTCTGTCTGAGAATTCCCCCACTCCTGTTTGTAGGTTCCTTAATTCAGACTTCTGTGCCTTGGACCAAAGAGTTGGGCATTTTGCACAGGTGTTACCAAAAGCTAAATGTCACTGGCCCCAAACTAAACCACTGACAGGATGAACATTAAAAAAAAAAGTTGTTTTGGGGAATAATATTCATTCAAAGACCAATAAATCATTCACTGGGGAAACTCCTTACCCAACTTCCTCCTCCTCCTCCCCGTTTTCCTCCCCTTCCTCCTCTTTCTCTTTTTTTTGCCCATCTCCCTTCCTCCTCCTTTCCTTTAAGAACTGTTTTCGTCGATTGTATGTATGTGTGTGTGCTTGTGTGTATGCATGGGTCTGTGTGTGCTGTGGTATTAAATGTGGAGGTCAGAGGACAACTTTTGGAATGGAGGACCTGTCCTTCCGCCATGGCTCAAACTCCAGTCTCAGATTTGGTGCCTTTACCTGCCGAGCCATCTCACCGGCCTCTCTCCTCAGCAGGCTGTTCTCTGGCCAGGTGAGCCAACTGGGCTACGGTCACAGGTCACATGGTGTGAATGCTGCACCTGTGCTACTGAGTTCCCTTCACTTGGTCTTTGTCCGCACCAGACACTGCACTCTGGCCTCTGTGGCTTTCTGTTCGTGCATTGCTGACATGGAAGCTCATTCAGCTTTGGGGAGCAGGAGGAGAAAGGGAAGAAATGGAGAAGCAAGTAGTGGGGGTGGGGTGGGGGATGAGGGGTCCCGAGGAAGGAGCTAATGGAAGAGAGAAGATCTAATGGCAGAGGCAGGGATAATAAAATGGAGACTTACAGAATTCTGGAGCAGAGATGACACTCGCCGCCGTAGGTAACTTGGTCACTGCCACATATAGGCTCATTGGGCTTGAAGTAGGAAAGCATCCAGCATTTCCTTACGTTCTTGTTGCACAAGGCCTGAAGTGAGACACAACACTGTTGCCATCACCTCCCTCCAGGTCCTTTGTTACAGGTAACAGGGACAGGGATGGCGTAAGGAACACCGGGCCTGGAGTTTAGGCAACAGGCTTCAAATTCTCCGCATTTATCCTGGTCCTTGCCATTGACACCTGCATGACTGTAGTAGGTGTGCATTCCCCAGCCTCCCACCAGGTCCTTCTGAGGAAGAAGTCTCTCTTCTACAGACCACAAAGTGTGAGCGCTGTGGCACAGAGAGCAAGAGCTGGGAAATCTCTTTCCAAACAGGCGTCTCTGGAGCTGGAGCGACAACTCAGCACTGGCTGCTCTTCTGGAGGAACAGAGTTCGAGTCCCAGCTCCCATATGAGATGGCTCAAAGCTGCCTGTAACTCCAGCTCCAGACTATCCTAGACTCGCTTCTGGCTCCTATGGGCACCTACCTATATATAGGTGGCATACATCCATTTAGACACACATAAATTAAAATAAAATTTTAAGAAAAAAAGGAAAAGAATTTCTAAAAATGGAGATTTCTTCTTTTAATTTTCTTTTTGTTGTTTTTGTCCTTTTTTAGAAAAATATTTATTTAGCTTTATTTTATGTATATTTGCTATAAAGGTATCAGATACCCCAGAATTGGAGTTACAGTTGTGAGATGCCATGTGGGTGCTGGGAATTGAACCTGGGTCCTCTAGGAAAGCAGCCAGTGCTCTTAACTGCTGAGCCATCTCTCCAGCCCCCTTCTTTTCTTTTCTTTTCTTTTCTTTTCTTTTCTTTTCTTTTCTTTTCTTTATTTTATTTTATTTTATTATATTTTTGTTTTGTTTTGAGACAGGGTTTCTTTGAAGTTTTGGTGCCTGTCCTGGAATTCACTCTGTAGACTAGGCTGGCCTCAAACTCACAGAGATCCTCCCAGTTGTGCCTCCTCAGCCCTGGGACTAATAGTATGTACCACCATGCCTGGAAGAACTGGAATTGCTTATGAGCATTGGTGAATGACTTACAATCTGTGCCTTAAACGGCAGTGTGCTCAAACTTGTCACAACAAGGTTAAGATATAGAGTTGACAAAGAAGGCATCACGGGGTTTGGAGTGAGGGTGATATATACATGTCCTGGATATCACCATGGAAAGGATGTCCACAGCCGCGTGGGACCAACCTGAATTCTGGTTTTGTTTTTCGAGATAGGATTTGTCTGTGTAGCCTTGGCTATCCAGGACTGCTCTGTAGAGCAGACTGGCCTTGAACTCAGAGATCCACCTGCCTCTGTCTCCCAGGTACTGGGATCAAAGGCGTGCACCACCACCACCTGACTGGAACCAACCTGGATTTGAACCATGACTTCCTCATGCATTTAGTGGTAGTTATTACAGGAGGCTTGCAGATGGTAGTAATGTGTAGGAAGAGCCCCCAGGGACAACCAAATGAGCTGCACATACTCTGGGACTCTCTTATTACGATCATGGTGTTCCCAGGCAAGTTCCTCCTGCTCCCCACTCCCAGGTCCCTGGGAGGGAAACTGACTCTCCATTCCTATTCTTGGGAACCTGGGAAGTGGAGCTCACCTTTGTCTCCTGGAAGATCTCATCAGTCACGCGAGTGCCCATAGGGAGAGGGAAATCTGGAAGACAAAAGCACACATGGCGAGTTATTGCCCGGTCTGTGTCCTCAGGGAAAAGGCTAGGTGATGGAGGCTCTGCCTGTCATTCAAGGGCATCCCGTCCCATCATCCGAGCCCAGGGTTCCCCTTTAGCGCAGGCTGGCCTCTACAGGAATGAAGAGAGTCAGGCGCTCCGGCCTCTTAGTGAAGTTGAGACCTGGCCATCCCCTTCATGTTTCGTGGGTAAATACCTTCCCAAAAGCTTTAGATTTCTTGTCTTTTTTGTCTGTTTGTTTGATTGATTTTGGTTTTTCAAGGCAGGGTTTCTCTGTGTGGCTTTAGAGCCAGTTTCCAGAACTTGCTCTGTTAGACTTAGGCTGGCCTCGAAATCACAGAGATCCGCCTATCTCTGCCTCCCAAATGTTGGAATTAAAGGCGTGCACCACTACCACCCAGCCCTCATCATTTTTAAACTTTTTAAAATTTGTATATGTTCATTTTATGCAGTAAAGACATTACATATTCTGTGAGGCTGGAGAGATGGCTCAGCAGTTAAAAGCCCGCATTACTGCATTACTCCGGCAGAAGATCAAGGTCAGTTCTCAGCTCCCACAGGGTGGCTCACAACCATCCATAACTCCAGTTCCAGAGCACCTGACACCTTTTTCTGGCCTCTGAAAGCAGTGCACAAACACACTGAATGTATGAAAGCAGTGCTCAAACACAGTGAACATATAAAAGCAGTGCTCATACACACTACACACATGAAAGCAGTGCTCAAACACACTGCACATATGGAAGCAGTGCTCAAACACAGTGCATGTATGAAAACAATGTTCAAACACACTGCACGTATGAAAGCAGTGCTCAAACACAGTGCACGTATGAAAGCAGTGCTCAAACACAGTGCACGTATGAAAGCAGTGCTCAAACACAGTGCCCTGCTTGTGGGTCTCCTTGCTTAAGGCCTGGTTACCTGCAGGATCCATGGATTGAAACAGTCGTCAGAAGGACATGAAGTAGGATGTGGGTAGTGTGTTCAGTAGCTGAGAGGTGAGGGCTGAGTGAAAAGTGAGGCTATGTGGACATGTGCCCATCTCCCTCCAGATAGGATTACACTGCTATGGAGGGAGAGGAGAGATTTAAGACATGAATAATCATTCTCAGGTAATGTGGGATTCCCCTCTGTATGTTGCGATTATCATTGATAAATAAAGGAACTGCTTTGGGCCTATAACAGAGCTATAGGGGAACACAGCTAGGTAAGGAAAACTAAATGGAATGCTGGGAGAAAGGAGGCAGAGTCAGAGAGAAGCCATGGAACCCCATTACCGGTAAGCCACAGCTATGTGACGATACACAGATTAATAAAAATGGGTTAAATTAATATGTAAAAGTTAGCCAATAAGAAGCTAGAGCTGAGCCAAGCAGTGATTTAAATAATGCAGTTTCTGTGTGGTTATTTCAGGGCTAAGCGACTGGGAATGAAGAAGTGGCCTTTCTCTAACACTCAGGTTTTTACAAAGCTTTTAAAGGTGTGAACCTTGTGGGAGAAAGATCAGTTTGAGAGACAGTAGCTATGGAAAATATGAGACTAAAGATGAATGAGGCACTGGGGATCTTAAATAAGAAAAGAATGAGTAGGGGTTGTCAGCTCTACAGTTAACTGTAAAAGCCGCTTTTGCCTAAAAATGGTTAAACACGGGGGCTGGAGAGATGGTTCGGTAGTTAAGAGCACTGCTTGCTCTTCCAAAGGTCCAGAGTACAATTCCCAGCAACCACATAGAAGCTCACAACCATCTGTAATGAGATCTGGTGCCCTCTTCTGGTGTGCATGTACACATGCAGGCAGAACACAGTACGTATAATAATAAATAAATAAATCTTAAAAATTGAAAGGTTAATCATTAACTAGGAGAATATCAGAATCCCCTTCTCCAGAGCCTGCTGAAGTTCTTTTTTGGTTTGAAATATGTACAGTTACGAACCATGGAAATGAATGCTTCCTAGGACTGAATGTCCTCTTGATAACCTAGTATTTTGGAAAAGTCAGTGGCTCTGGATTTGAAAGGCTGGGATTCAACTGCAGGTTTTGGTACTTAGTAACACTGTGTGACTCCTTTCTTTCTCTGGATTTCAGCTTCATCAGTAACACGAGGAATTAATGATCAAATAAATCTAAATGGTGCCTGAGGACATAGCTCCATGGCACAACGCTTAGACAGTGTGCGCAGGCTCTAGGTTCCGTCTCCAACACTGCAAACGAACGAATGAATGGCCCTACATGGCACTTGCACCTCTAATTTTTCCATAGCTTAAATCGATTGCAGGAAATGTGGACAGAGCAAGAACTTGCAACTCACCAACTGCAAAGGAAGTCCACACTGAGATGGCTAGAACAAGGAGGGCAGTTGAGAAGGTCGCCTTCATGGTGACAGAAGACCTGTGGAAGGAAGCACAGTCATTTGGTGACAGCAACAAGGAAGGCAGGTCTGGCTTTGCCCTCCGGCTTGCAGTGGTTTCAGCAGTGGAAGACACCCCTGCCTGAAGCAACCTCAGGGGTAAAGACAGCGCCAGGGAATGTTATCAGCTCTATCCTGGAGGAGAGCGGCTTCTCCATGTCCCCTGGTCCTCGAGTGTAGAGAGCAGCAGCCGTTTGCTGTCTCCCCCGTTCTCAGGGAGAGAGGCCTTCTGCATCCTAATAAGCAGCTGCAGAATCACCCTTGCTGCAACAGGAACTGCAGCGACGTGAGTCATAAGTCATTCTACTGGGTAGCGTTAGAATCAGAACCAGGACATCCAGTGTCATCCAGATGACATCAGCCCGTGTGTCAGAGAAGCAGACCACCCTGGATGCTCCCCTCACCAATTGCTTGCCAAGAACTCTCTATTTTTAACCCCTGCATAAAACCAAACCACAGAAGCTAAAAAACAAGGTTAGTACTTTTAGAGACTTTCCCATAGCTTTGGGCTTTGATGGATTAGACCTTTCCTTTAGTTTTGGCAGGTCCTACTCTCTACACGCTGAGTTTTACAGCCTAAACAGTGCTTCCATCATGGAGTCAGTTGTGCTAAGGTCTCAGGGTCTGCTAAGTCTGGGGCCCTGTTACAGTGGTTTAAATAAGAATGGTCCCAAAGGCTCATATCTTTGAATGTTTAGTCATCAGGGAATAGCGATACTTGAGTGAGAAAGATTAAGAGGTGTGGCCTTGTTGGAGTAGGTGTTGCTTTTTTTTTTTTTGAGGACGTGTGTCACTGGGGTGGGCTTTGAGGGTTCAAAAGCCCAAGTCAGGCCCAATGTTGCTCTCTTCCTGCTGCCAGCAGAGCCCAGTGTAGAATTCTCAGCTCCATCTCCAGTACCATGTGTTGTGAGATGTTTGTTTACACTGTGCGAAGACATGTCGTTGCGATTTGTTTAATAAAAAGCCAAAGGGCCAATAACTAGGTAGGAGAGGTTAGGTGGGACTTCTGGATAGAGCGAGGACCTCATAGGGTTAGAATCTAGGGAGACACCAGCAAGATGCCCAGCAAGTCAGATGTACAGAATGGAAAAGAGGTAAAAGCCACATGGCAGAATGCAGATGAATAGAAACAGGTTAATTTAAGTTATAAGAGCTAGTTGGGAACAGCATCAGCTAAAGGCCGAGCTTTCATAATTAATAATAAGTCTCTGTGCCATTATTTGGGGGCACAGCGGACAAGAGAGCTCTACTACAACCATGTCTACCTGTGTTACCCCATACTCCCTGCCGTGATGAAAATAGCCTACATCTCTGAACTCATAAGCAAGCCTGCAGGGAACCATGGAGCTGGGTTGGCCTAGCTGTCTTGAGAGGCATGTGTCACAGGTTTTTCAGGTTAGAGTCCGTGGTTCCTGGGGCAGAATGTGCCTTCCAGGTCCTGAGAGACCAATGTGCTCCCTCAGGCAGTGAAGCGTTTAGGCCACTCTGTGTTTCTCTGTGTGTTTCCTTGGAAATCAAGGAAGCATGGAAACTTGATGGGGCAACCGGTCTTAAACATTAATCTTGTGTACCCTGTATGACTTGCAAACTTCATAGTATCCTGGCAACTACAACAGCATTGATCATGGCAATCGCCATTATATTCTGTTTCTAATAAAGGTACAAAAAGTCTGATGGCTCTCAATAAAATCGTCACAGCCTCAGTTGTGCTGTGGACCCTCCAGCCTGGTCTGATTTCATTCCTGGCGGCCCTGTCAGGTGACCTTGGCCCCGTAAGTAAACGTGGGAGCTTACCCAAGTTCCAGTTAAAAGCTTTGTCTTATAAGAGCTGCCTTGATCGTAGCGTTTCTTCATAGCTATAGGACAGTGACCAAGACAGTGTTCTTAGGAATATTTCCACAAGATTGCATAAGTATAGCTCAGTAGCCCCGTATGATGAATAAACTAGTGGGGAAGTAGCCCACTGGTTTCTCTTTCGGTGTCAGGTTGGCTAAAAGGAGTAATGGAGTGGTGTTAGGCAAGAGAAATTCTAAAGAATATGGAAGGCCGTTAGTGTTCAGACCGCAGCCAGAAGTAGAGCAACTTTTGTTGCATTGAGAGGCACAGAGGGTGACAAGGCACCTTCTTCCATCCAAATGGATGATCGTATGTCACTCACTAAACACACATATCTTGCCGGGAACCCTTGAACAATGAAGTTCTAAAGCAGCATGGGGTTTTTTAACCTGTGAACAATGAAGTTCTAAAGCAGCACAGGATTTTTCCCGATCAGCGGCTTCCTTAGGAACAGTGTGCCACAGACACTGCAAAGCAAGGTGACAGTCACTGCTGCACATCTGCAGGAAGTGCCTTCCAAAACAGCGGCAAAAACTGGGTCCCCATGCCCCAGGCCCCACAGAAGGGAGAAGCGGGGCTGAAATCACATCGGCAGTGAGAATTCCCAGACTGGACTAGAAACAGTACATCAATGCCATGACATATGGAGTAAGGGTAGTGTGATTTCAGCAGACTTCATGGGTGCTAAGTTAAATTTTTATGGGGCCCATTTCTGAGGAAAATTCCTAGTGTTTGCTCCGAAGCCCCATTTGGAGCAGTGAAGAGGAGACCGAAACCTGTTTCCCGTCCCTGTTTGCTGTAAAGTGAGCAGGTCACAGCCAGCCCAGAGCAAAAGAACTGTGGAGACAACTGCCTCACAGCAAAGGCCCGGCTGTCGGCAGCATGACAAGGATCCTAAACATGGGAGAGACTTCCAGACACGCCGCTTATGGCTAAGTAAGGAATGTGCCGCTGTGCCCAAGGACGACCTTTTACACATTATTAAATACAGCTATCTATCTATCTGTGTGTGCATAAATATGCATATATATGTATACACACACACACACACACACACATATATACATCTCACTGTTTAACAACAAAAGAAAGAAACTGATTTTTAAACCCAAAATTAATAAGATACCAGAGATGACTAATAATATTTGTGAAATGAAGAAATAAGTGCCAGGAGTTTTTCAATGAACTGTTCTAAAGTTGCAGTTACCTCTGGGGTGTGACCTGTAAGTCAACAGATGGTAAGAAAAGAAAAGGACAGAATCCCAGACACTCACTGCCATGCTTAAACTTTGATCATGCATTGCTCTGGAGTTAATAGTTAGTGACCAATGAAATTCCCAAAATGAAAACCAGAGAGCTGGTAGCACACGCTCACTTGCGCTATTGAGCTGGCGAGAGCACACGCTACTCTCGGAATCCAGTACATTTTGCTACTCTTTTCATCCTGCACACTTCCCAGACAAATGATCAAGTTGGGCAATTTCAGCCCAGGACGTCCCTGAATAAAAAATGAATAATAAAACAAGTTGTTTCATTCTTAAAAAGTTGCCAATTGGTAGTTCACGTTACCTGCTGTGACTCCCGCGGTTGCTCTGAGAAACTGGCTGAGCTTTTAGGGGAAGAGGAAATAGCAAGACTGGCAGGAGGCAGGTGTTGTCGCAGAGGACAGTTCCTGGCAGTGAAGACAGTGAGCTGCGAAGTTCAAAAATATAAAGAAGTACAAGCCAGGGGTGTAGTGGTGCGTGCCTGGGTCTCAGCACTTGGGAAGCAGAGGCAGAGGTAGGCAGATCTCTGTGAGTTCAAGGCTAGCCTGGTCTATATAGTGAGTTCTAAGACAGACAGGGTTACATATTACATATTGAGACTTCATCTTTAAAAAAAAAAAAGGAAATACAGTTCAAATGACAAATTCCATGCTTCCAAAATTCTGAGTTCACATTTCAGCGTCCTGGAGGTGGAGCGTATTGTCGTCCACTGCCACTTTGAAATGTAACTCCTCTTGCCAAATTTGCTATCATTTTAGAAATAGGCCATACTTAATTTTTTGTTTGTTTGTTTTTGAGACAGGGTCTCCTGTGACTGATCGAGAATACTGAAGAGAACCTTGAACTCCTGATCTTCCTGCCTGGACCTGTTAAGTACTAAGATTATAGCTGTACACTACCATGTACACTGATTGATTGATTGATTTTGAGTTCCTTTTAAGCCAGGTAGAGGTGGTGCACACGCCTTTAAGCCCATCATTTGAGAGGCAGAGGCAGGTGAATCTCTGTGAGTTAGAGGCCAGCCTACAGAGCAAGTTCTAGGACAACCAAGGTTACACAAAGAAACCCTGTATGGAAAAACAGAAACAAAACAAAAAGATAATTTTATCCTTAGGTGTGCATCTGCCACATAATGTAGATTTCTGTGGAGGCCAGAAGAAGGCATTGGATCCCCTGAAGCTGGGGTTACAGGTAGTTGTGAGGTAGGAATTGGGTGGGAGGAACTGAACTTATGTCCTCTGGAAGAGCAGAAAGCACCCCAACTGCTGAGCCATCTCTCTGGCCCTGGTTTTAGTTTTCAGAGACAAGGTCTCCCTCTGTAGTCCAAGCCTCACTGTGTAAGTGAAATTTTATCCTCCTGCTTCTGCCTCTCCACGATTGGGATTACAGGCATGAGTTATTATATCTTGCTCAACAATTACATTCAGGATAGCTTCAGATAATTACACATCATATTAATTACCATCTACACATAGGTAGTTAGTTATTTTATCCAGAGTCAAAACATATTCATATGTGATATCTTGTCTGTACAAATAAAGTTTGTCTGAAGATCAGAGGGCAGGGCCAGCCACTAGCTAACCATAGAGATCTGGAGGTCTGTACAGACAGACAGGAAGTGATATGACTGGATGGAGAGAGGAAGTGATACGGTGGAAGGAAACAGGAACTCGGTCTCTTTTTGGCTGGGAAGTTGAGCAGGTAAGGAGGCAGTGGTTTGGCTCCTTTGTCTCTCTGCTCTCTCAGCATTTTCCTCTACATCTGGCTCAAGTCTTTTATTATTAAGACTTATTAGAACTCATGCTACATATTCATCTTTTGGAGGAGGAGATTTTGAGGGAGGGTCTGACGCAGCCCCACCTAGCCTGGAGCTTGTATGCTTTCCTTATTGAAGCATTAACTTGTAACATTTCTAAAATTGCCTACTAGAGTCTTTGTGTATGCACATGTGTGTATGTGTGTGGGTAGGCACACACATGGGCTAGTGTACAAATGGATACCTCAGTGTTATTCCTCAGATACTGTCCATCTTGTTTAGTTATAAAGATTTATAGTTTTTTATTTTACATATGTGAGTGTTTTGCCTGCATGTGTGTATACTCATCACAGGCAACAGTATACACAGATTCCTGAAAAGGGCGCTGGATTTCCTGGAGCCGAGTTACAACCTGATGTGAGCTGCCATGTGGGTGCTGGGTACCAACCCAGGCCGTCTGCAAGAGTAGCAAGTATTCTTAATCACTGAGCCATCCCTTCACCCACCCTGCCCCACCCACCTCCATCTTGTATTTGGAGACAATGTTTTCACTAGCCTGAAGCTTGCCAGGTAGAATGGCTGGCTGGCCATCCAGATTCCGAAATCTGCCTTCCCTAGTATAAGATTTGGGAGCTGAAAAGAGGACTCAGCTTTGAAGAGCACTCATTGCTCTTGTAGAGGACCTGAATTTAGTTCCCAGCACCCCTATGGTGGCTTACAACCCTTCATAACTCCAGTTCCAGGGCATCTTATGCTCTCCTCTGGCCTCTGTGAGCACCTGGCACACATGTGGTACATACACAGACATGTGAACAAATCTCATAAAATAAAAATAGGCTGGCAGTGGTGGTGTACGCCTTTAATCCCAGCACTTAGGAGGTAGAAGCAAGAGGATCTCTGTGAGTTCAAGGCCAGCCTGGTCTACAGAGCAAGTTCCAGGACAGTCAGGGCAACACAGAGCAACCCTGTCTTGAAAAACAAACAAACAAATCATCAAATCATCATCATCCTTTTTTAAAGTGAGCCCTAGGCTATCATGATGGCTCAGAGAGTGAAGGTATTTTTAAGCCTGGTGCCTCAAGTTCAATGTCCAAAATCCACAAAAAGGCAGAAAAGAGAACCGAATCCTCAAAGTTGTCATTTGGTCTCCCACCCCCCAAAAACACATACAATCTCTCCTTACACACACACACACACACACACACACACACACACACACACACACACATAAAACCTAAGTCCAGCAAGATGAATTAGTGGATAAAGACACTTGACACCAAGCCTGATAACCTGAGTTCAATACCTAGGAGAGGTGTCTACTATGGTGGAAGAAGAGAACTGAGTCCCAAAGATTGTTCTCTGACCTCCTCAAGTGCACTATGGCACACACATCCAACCCCCTCTTCCAAAATAAATAAATGTAATAATGAAAAAATTTCAAGTTAGATCATTTCATGTTCTCATCAATTTCCATTTTATCTGTGTACTTAATCAAATAGCCCAGTGGAGGCCAAGGAGGAAGCACAGTGCATCCCCGGGGGCTCCAGTTACAGGAAACTTATCCAGTGCTACCTGACCAGTTTTCATGTAAATGAGATAACCAGGAACTTGCTTAGCTTATTACAGTGTAAATAAACCCAGAAGAAAGGCGGCATAAAGAGAGTTGGTGGAAATCTTTGTTCCAGAATGGGCATGGCATCATAAATGTTACAGCAAAGATTTTTTAAAATAAAATTTTATGTGATGTAATAGTATTACTCAAATTTAATGTTTTGATGAAGCAAATTATATTGTTATCTAACTACCAAGAATCAGGAAAATTGCTGGAGTTTGATGGCACATGCCTTTAATCCCAGCATTTAGAAGGCAGAGGCAGGCAGATCTCTGAGTTCAATGCCAGCCTGGACTACCAGCCTGGTACTGTGGGAGAATGCTTTTGTACACTGTAAAGATTTGTTACTCATACTGGTTTAATAAAACACTGATTGGCCAGTAGCAAGGCATGAAGTATAGGTAAAGCAATCAGGCTAGGAGAATTCTGGGAAGTCAGAGAGATACAGACACCAGCCTGTCTGCACAGGAAGCAAGATGAGAATGTCTCATTGAGAAAAGGTACAAAGCCATGTGGTTAAACACAGATAAGAATTATGGGTTAATTTAAGTTGTAAGAGCTAGTTAATAATAAGTCTGAGCTAAGAGACCAAACAGTTTATAATTAATATAAGCCTCTGTGTGGGACTGAATGGCTGCAGACCTGGTGGGACAGAAGCTTCAAGCTACAGCCTGCACTACAGAGTGAGTTCCAGCACAGCCAGGGCTACACAGAGAAACCCTGTCTCTAAAAACAAACAAACAAACAAAAAGTATCAATAAAATCAGACCTGGAAAACTGCTTCAGTGTTATCTAATCCAAGTCACTCATTTGACATGAGGCTTAAATGACAGAGGCATTGGGTATCTCCATACTTACAGGTAGCCAGGTTCTAGTCAATCACAGGAAAGAATATCTATCATCTCTATTTACCATTTGTCTATCACCTGTCTATCTATCGTCATCACTTTCATTTGGGAGAGACACCAAGAACCCACTAGAAAGATTCTAAATTGGCATCTTAGAAACAGAACCCTGGAGAGGCTTTGTTGACTACAGTGGTGTTGGGATGAGAATGTCCCCCATAGGGTCAGCTGTTGGAGTACTTGGTCTCCAGATAGTGGTGCTTTTTGTGTAGGTTTAGAAGGTGTGGTCTTGATGGAGGAAGTATGTCACTGTGGGTGGCCTTTGAGATTTCAAAGCCACATGCCATTCCCAGTTCTTTATTTTCTCTGTCTCCCGCTGATAGCTCCAGACATGAGCCCTAGGGCTTTGGGCTAGGGCTTCCATGACTTCTGCCACCCTGCCACGACATACTTTTGTCCCTCTGGAATCATAAGCCAAACAAGCTCCTTTTCTATACCTAGCTTTGGTCATGGTGTTTGTCACAGCAATAGAAACGTAACCAAAACAACTACATCGCCCCTACTCTTCGGGATAGTGCTACCAATCATTATTTTTAGCCATTGCCACAATTTTCCAGAAATAAGCTGAGTACCAGTGTTCACCTCTTTCTGCTTCCTGACTGCAGATGTCATGGGACCAGGTGCATTGAGCTGCCACTGCCATGATTTCCTTGCGTGGGATATTTTTTTATATTTATTTATTATGTATACAATATTCTGTCTGTGTGTATGCCTGCAGGCCAGAAGAGGCACAAGACCTCATTAAGGATGGTTGTGAGCCACCATGTGGTTGCTGGGAATTGAACTCAGGACCTTTGGAAGAGCAGGCAATGCTCTTAGCCTCTGAGCCATCTTTCCAGCCCTGCTGTGGGATATTTTGATCGCACTCTGACACTCCCAAGATTGCCAATAAAGTTCACTTTGAATCAGAGGGCAGAGCTAGCTACTAGCTGACTGAAATTAGCCATAGAGGTTTTGGAGAGCCAAGGGCATATAGAGAGACACAAGAAATAGTAAGGAGGGTTTAGAAAGTCTTGGCCTTTTTTGGATTGAGGAAGAAGAGAGGGAGGAGGTCACTGGTCACTCCACAGCATCTATGATCATTCAGGTTCTCACCCGATATCTGACTCCCAAGTTTTTATTGATAGCGTATAACCAGATAAACTGTTCACATCCCCCCTGTGATGGGCTGTGCCTGGAACCGTGCGTGAGGCACAGTGCACACTTCTT